ACAACCCCCCTATAAGCAACACTTATCTTTATCAGCAAACAAATTGTCCCTCAGCCTCTCCACTATCAGTCTCTTAGTCGCCGATCAGAGCACCTCTTTCCCTTTGGGTTCTGACTGATTCTTGTGTGCAGTGAACGCAGGCCCATAGTGTCTATACAGACAGGCTGTTCCCTGGGCTCAAACTCCCAGCCTGCTGCATTCTTGCAGCAACACGTGCAGCTCACACAGTTCCTTCTCAAATGGCATCCCCCTTCTATTAGAGAAGGGCTGGAAGCAGGACATAGGGGCTGGATTTCCCTCCTGCTCCTGGGACTATTAGGACTTTGGGGTAGTGTCCCTTTCACACTGCTGATGTGTAGAATGGGAGCTCCACAACAGAAACATTATTTGTCCAGTTCCACAGAGGTATTTAGGTGCCTACCTCTGATTGAATGGAGAGGTGGGCTCTGAAATACCTTGTAGGGTTTGGGCCTTTGTGGCTGTCTCAGAACCTTGTGTGGTTGCTGCCCTGTGTGCCATGGCGACTTGGAACTTCACGGGGAGAATGGGGGGGGGGAGGGGAAGGGGGTAAAGCATGTCTGCTCAAAAAGGACAATTGGCTGCCACTTGAGTTAGAGAGCAACCCCTGCTGCTCTAGCAGCCTCTGGCTCTCTGTGGCAATGGAGAGGTTCAGATTCAGAGTCGTTCAGAAGGGGAAAGTGCTACATACATACACACACAGTTTGTAGCACTGTGACCTGCTTTTGCGAGTCCTAAAAGGTTTTAAAGATTTCTTTATGACCAGTTCCCATAGAAAGTAATATGGAAGTGACTTCTCTTCATGTAATGTAGCAGTTGAAAGCAGTGAGAAATTATACACGTAAGCAGGGTCTGAATGAGCTTTCCCCTGACATCTAATGATGAACTGGAGGGAAAGACTTCAGGAGCAGAAAGCATTCACATAGACACCCAGTCTTCCTAGATGTTCAGCAGACAGACCTGCTTTGCCAAAGTGATCAATTTTGGCTGGTTTTGGGTTACAATTCACTTTAGTATTGAACGCAGGGGTAATGAAATGTTATCCTTATTGTACGAGTAAACAGCAGCAGGACTGTACTTAGCACACCCTGATTGAGGGGGTCACCCTGATCTGAACCTCACTTGCTAAGCGGGGGGGCAGGGATGCCAACTCCCAGTGAAAGAGAGGGGGGATGGGGACAGGTATTCCTACCTGAGTGTGGGAACTCTGCTTTTAGAGTCTTTGATGCCATTTGACCCTCCCTTCTCAAGTGTTTAAAGACTGAGCTGATTAGACTTAATTGAAAGGCCTCGTTTCTGTTCAGTGGTTACCAGGGCTAAAATTACTGATGAACAGGTTTAGGGGCTACGCCTTGCGCCTGGTGCGGGGACAGTGTTGCAGGGAACACAGAGACTGCACAAGCAGTGAGGTTCCCCCACTACCCAGTGTAATTGCTAAGATCTGAAATCACTAAGACGTGGGCTAATTCACGGAACCTGAGAATGCAGCATCACAGAAGTGGCAGTGAGTGGCCAGTGATGGCAGAGAAAACAGCACACCCATGGCCAACAGAGGCAGTGGCAAGCGGGGGCAAAGATAACCGCAGCAGCTGAGGCACTGCTTGTCCCTCTCCCCCACCTTTTCAGGGGTGGGAGGTGAACCTACACGAATGCAGCTCTGAATTCTGAATCCCCAATTTAATGCTGGGCTCCCTTTCCCTTTTAATGAAAGTTTTCTTTTGGTATACACAGACTCAGTGTTTGCGAGAGAGAAGTATAGCCCCTTTGAGGAGCCCAGGCGTTGTGGTTAATTTCCCCAAATTATCGGGTGAGGGCTCGAGCCAGTTCTGTTTTGTATTGTTAAAAGGAACCCCTAGATATTTAACCCGGCCCTTGTTGCTGCTGACACCACCTGGCAAAGGGGTTACATACATATTGGCCCTGCCAGTGAACAGAGCAAAAGCCTACCGTTCACCAATTTCCCAAATGGAAATGACTTTCCAGTTGCTCAAATAGCTTTGTAGGTGGAAAATAGTAAATGGACATTTGACAACTTATGAATATGCATATTTTTTAAAATGAATTACACCTAGCGGTTTATTCAGTGGCTTTTTATTGCTGGCTTTTGCATTGGTCTATATGGGGATGGTACATTTAGATGTGAGGTGTCACTGGGGATGTAACTTCTGCTTAAAAAATGGACAGTGCTTAAAGTGTAAATGGCTTGTGTTGAACTAACAAACTAGGTTAACATTTCCGAGCTTTTGAAACAGACACCTTCAGAAAAATGAAGCCAGTTTCTCCCTATTTTCACCCCTGCCCTGTGGTGTTAAAGGCTTACCCATCTAAATGTCTACATCTTCCTCGTCGCCATGGCGGCTCCATGGGAGACCCACCCACAGACATCTGTCAGAGGCACGCTCCACACATCAGGAAAGACTGCATTATTGGATGAAAATGTTCCTTTTGAAGTCATGCGGAGGAGACACTGTTGAAGCACATTTATTTTCAGTTGGATGAGATGCCTTGGGATCCACACTGCTACCCCGAACTTGACCCAGCAGCCTGGCAACAACATATCTGGGTTTGGCAATGAGACTGGAACTTTCACTTTCCTGGAGACACAGGGCTCAGGTCTTCAGTGCTGCAGCTGAGGGTTGAGACAGCAGCTCTGAGTTACCCCTCGGCTGCTAAGCAGGGTAAGCAGGTCTTTTGACTCATGATGTAAATTGAGAGGAGCAAGTGCTGGAGGGTCAGCGCTGTACCCAGCAAGTGCTGGAGGGTCAGCGCTGTACCCAGCAATTGCCATGTGGCATTCAGCAGCTGGCTGGGAGAAATACTGTTTTCGGAGAATCCCCAGATGCTTTTCTGTGTGAGTGGCTGGCCTTTATGGCTGCTCTGGAGTGTATTCGGGTCAGGAAGTACTCCTGACTGGCAACAGGAGGAGCTGAAAAACGTTAGCAGTGCTATTACAGATGCCATTTGTATTCACATTATTGCACTTAAGTTCCTATGACCTGGCCACATACTGCCTCTACCTCTCAATACTCACTTTCCCCCCTACTCAGCAGTGCTCACATCAGTGTGGAAACAGAGCGACTTTGCATGAAGGCTGTTGCTCTCTGCACATCCTTAAGCAGTGCTCAACAGCCTGTAGGCTCCAAGATAATCAGCAGCCTACAGGACCGTTCACAATACAGCAATCTTAGCAGCTCTGCTGTATCTCTGATATCAACAGAGTTAAACCAGGAATGAGTTTAGTATGGAGACTATAAGCTTCTTGGAGGTAGGTAAATTCATGACACACACAACCCTTATACAGGCAAGAAAAGTGTGGAGAGTCCATACAGGTGTCTGGAGCTACTGCATGCTGCTGGGTTGTACTTCATAGGGCCTCCCTTTACTCCAAGGCTTTGGAAGAAGGGGTGGAGGAAGAGGAGAGGAAATGGCCTAGCTGATGGCTATCCATCCATCTTGATTCACCATGTGGATCCCACCATATGTAGGCCTGAACTGCCAGAGCTGGCCACGTAGTAGCTCTGCTTCCACTTCATGTCATGGGGAGAACGTCATCATCCTGCTGCTGCTAAAAATACCTAGCTCTTATTTCGTGCTTTTCATCAGTAGATCTCAAAGTGCTTTACAAAGGAGGTATTGCTATCCCCATTTTACAGATGGGAACTTGAGTCCCAGGGAGGTAAAGTGACTTGCCCAAGGGTCACCCAGCAGGATAGTAGCAGAGCCAGGACTAGAACACAGTCCCAGGCCAGTGCTCTATCCACTAGGCCATGCCACCTCATCCAGACACACTGCTCGGGCTACTTGAACGGTGATGTGCTAGGATCAAATATGCAATTTCCCCACTGATTGTGACAACTGGAGTAGGGTGTGGGAAATTCTTCCAGTGGAAAAGGCGTGTTACATTAAGAAAGAGGACAGGGGTACAGATATTGCTGTCCCTCATTGACTACTTAAAAGAAAACTGTGAATAAAGAACCACAACCATGACCTACATAATAATAGCTCAAAAACAATTAGTGCATTGGCACTGTAGGTAGACCATATGAGGAAATTAATTGTAACTTGAATTGCAAAGCATTACCTGTAACATACACTCACTGCTCACCATACATTAATATTGTTATTTGATATGTGGGTTTCTGTTAATATTTTAATCTACTCTATACATTAATATTCAGCAAAAAAATACGTGTCAAATAGCCAATTCATAATTTCTAGTCCACTGTACAAGTTTAGCTATGTAATTTTGATGGTATTGTCACTGATTTACCATACAAGGTATACATTGCCTCTAAATATTTATTAATGAATTGAATGCTCGTGAATGTTGCTGGATCAATAGCTTTGGAAACTGAAGTCTCAGGTACAGCAGAAGTAGCTATATTGTAAGATTCCTTACAACCAGTGTTCCTCAGCCCTCTTAATAGGGTGACCAGATGTCCCGATTTTATAGGGACAGTCCCGATTTTTGGGTCTTTTTCTTATATAGGCTCCTATTACACCCCACCGCCGTCCCAATTTTTCACATTTGCTGTCTGGTCACCCTACCTCTTAAAAAGGTAAGCATGTTGGACAGTAAAAGGATAATTGAATTCAGACTGCTAGGCTACACAGTCTTTGCCCTCTCTGCTGAGATTGTCAAGGACTCAATAAAGGACAGATTGATGTTAATAGGGTTGGAGCTTTGTACGGGTGGATACCTAGTAGGAACAACCATGAGAACATCCAGTTTTTACACACAGACCATCTGTTTTGTGTCACATTCTTTAGGTACCTAGTTCTATTTGTTTGAACTATATTGATTGTAATTGTCCGTGACTCACTGTGAGACATTTTGTATGAATTAACTTGTAAATTACTGTTACCACAAAATATTGTGAAAACATTGTGTATGATTATCTCTGAATTCTCCAGCAAGGATTTTTAATCTAACAGGCTAGGTTTCAATTAAAAGCACTTACCAAAAGAAAACATGAAGATTAAAAGATCAGCTACCCAACTAGTTCATATTCCACCAACTTTGGAAAAAAGAACTTTGACACTAAAAATTCAATAATACATACTAGTATAAATTACAAACGTTGCTCTTCTAGGAAGCTTCTTTTCTGATAGCAGTGTGCTTTGTAATATTTAAGGTTTCAAAGTTGATGGCTCTTATGAGGTACTAATTTTTGGTATTAGAGCAAACTCACAGGTTATAACAAAGGAGAAAATTACAAATATGGGTACTGAACTTATACTGTACATGCAAGAGACATTTGGATTCAATTTTAGGACCTGTGGACTTGATTGTTCACTTTTATGCTAGTGTAACTTCACCTCAGTCACTGATATTCCACCAGAGTAAAGCTGGTGTAATGAAACACAGAATCAGGACACAAACACACATTAAAAACTTTAGCCACATTTTCACAACCATGGGAAAAAGGGGTGGTGGTGTAGAAGCTGGCCTACTTCTGCCCGGTGCTGTCCTTTTGTGGGATAGACCTATAGCAGCTCTCTTCTCAAGAGAAGCCTGTCGTTAGTTAGTGGGTGTCCCACACTCACAGCTCCCACCCTGTTATGTGGTGCTAGCTATAATGGCTAGCTGGCATCCCTTGTGGCCACTGTTAGAGATGTCCAAAAAATTTTTTGTCTTCAGATGGGATCAGTGTAGAAAAATTCTGCATGATAGGGCTAGATAATACAAGATATTTCTTCCAACCCTAACCACAAGTCTATTTACTTTCATCTTTTCCAATGCTAGCCATTTACAGATAAGCATTTGGTACTAGCTTAAATGCAGTGCATGCTTTCAAAAATTATTTATAAAAACAAATGGGCTTTGTTATATGCTACCATTTTGAATGATCTGGAATTATTTACAATAGTTTTGGAGATATCACAATAATCTTAAATAAGGGTTTTTTCGCCATCCTTTTCATCATCTTCCACAATCACTGTCTGCTTTTCTTCTTTAAGCAGGTTAGTACCTTAAACAGGAAAAAAAAATTAAAACAAAGAAAAAAACTAGTCAGGTTAACATATTCATTGTTTACAAGGGCCTAATTTTCCTATCCTTTCCAATTGTTTGACACGCAGTGGAGTTGCTTCTGATTAAATTTGGATAATCAGGCCCCTAATATTTAGTAAACCTGAAACTCGTGTCTGTATTTGTACTTTGTAATTAAAATTATTGGACATTCTCACACACTGCTGATACCTGTTCAAATAACTAGCACCTTGTGGTTTATTCTCAGAAATCTTCTGGACCGTTTATTACTTAGATTTTGCAAATGCAGATTCCAGAATGGGCAAATGTTGAAAGACTTAACAGCCAGCTCCCACACATCCAGTATCATCCCCACTGAAATGAATCTAATGGCAATATGTTGCAAATGTAAATAAAAATATGAACTTGGATCAATGCTGAACAGGCTCCCATGCATTACCAAAGACATTGTACCAGTACAAGCAATACTGAGCGTTGTGAATTTGAACATGCATCAAAGAAGATCTGTCTGTAAATGAATACTAAGGATAATTAAGAAAACCACACACCCAGTGCCAAGGCACTGGAGAACTGTACAGCATAATATAGAGAGGAAGGATGATCTTGTGGTTAAAGCACAGGACTGGGATTCAAGAGATTTGGGTTCAATCAGCCACAGAACGCCTATGTGACCTATCATTTAATGTGTCTGTGTCTCTGCTTGTGAGCTCCCATCTTTTGTCTGTCTAGTGTATTTAGAATGTACAAACCTAGTGCCTAGAACAATGAGGCCCCACTACTGACTGGGGCCTCTATGCACTACAGTGATACAAATAAATAATAAAATATAATTAAAAAATGATGCCCCTAAAATGAAATGTTAAAATCAACCAATGGGATCCCACAGGCAAAGGTTCTACTCAATCCTTATTTTAGCTGAACTGGTTTGTTTTGCCCATTCCTATTTAAAAAAAACAATGAATAGCCTCCACAGTATGTTTTATTTCCACTGTCTTTAGAATGGTGGCTAAAATATTCCATAAACAGGGTGAGGGGAAATCTGGACTTGAAGCCAAGCAAATCGCTTTAAGTCAGTTGCCTACTGTTTGCTGTCAGAGCGCTCCAACCTGCCAAGTTGTTTTGTCAAACCAACCCATTTTCTTTCTTTCTGTGTTGAAAGCCCTCTCATAATGAAGCAGTTCATGAAGTCTGAAAATAGCGCAAAGGAAGCTATGCCACACAGGAAGGCTTTCTTCAATTCTGGACACTCTTCAAGAGGTGAGGAATTACGGACAGAGATGATTGACCTAAATTACTATTTTGAATTCAAGTCTGGTTTTGTTTGTATGGGGTTTTTACCAATTAGCTGATTTTATTGGGGGAGGGAAACCATTTCAAAGGGTTGGATGAAACTTCAGAGGTAAGTGTGAAATACAATGGTGTGTCCTTCAAACAGCCATTGAGTGACTGATACTGGAAACTGGTAACAGGGAAGCCATTTTAAGGTGATGGAGAAAAAGAGAAATGTTCCACACCCAGGTTTCAACTCAGCCCCTAGCAAAAAAATTTCCAAAAATACAGACATTTATTTTTATCCCGTTATTTCTGCATCTTTTCCAAAATGCTCCCTGCCTGCAATGGAAGCTTATAATGTATAGCAAACAAAACTAAAGTTTAGAGCTATGATCTATAATCCTATCTCCAGTGCTTCTTGGTTCTTATCTGAGTTACAAAACAATGAGGAAAAAGCAAATGGGCTCCTAGCCAGACTATAGGAGCATCAAAATTACCCCGTGCTTGAAGCAATTCCACCTACCACAGCTAATTTTAGCAGAAATTGTCTTCAAGGACCAGGGAGCTAGGCACAGCTGGAGGGCAGCAACAGGACTCAGCAGCCCAGCTATAAGGAGTTGTTGTCATTCAATAATCACATGCTCACCAAAATAGAGTGCAGTGGTGACTGAGACTGCTCCCAAAATATAATCCTGGCGGGATTCCTGTAGTTGGTACAGTGTGGTATGTAGATCAAAAGAACAAGATAGTGTGGTCTAGATTGAATGTGCAGAGTGGTGGGATTAGTAACACCTGTGTGCTAATCCTGGCTCTGCTTACTGATTTAGTGTCTGGGCAGGTCACTGAGCCTCTCTGCCTCAGCTTTCCCATCTGAAAAATGGGCATCATAACATTCAGCATAGCTTCATACAGATGTTTTAAGGAATAATAGATTAGCCAGCATCTCTGAAGTATAAAGCAGCGCATAAATAAATACAAAGTAGTGGTAGTAGTTTACAATAGAACCTAGTGCTGATGAGAAATCTGTAACCTAACACTAGGCTATCAGTGGCTTCAGACTCTAAGGTCCTTGCCAGAGCTGTGCTGAGTACAGTTTAGCAAGGGGAGGTAGAGGATCTGTTGCCAGTCTGGTCCCTGGTGCACCTTAGAGCTTCCTCAGGGTGTTTATATCTGACTGTCTATCAATCATAGGGCAATTCCTGTCAAACTGAGGCTAGTGAGGGGATGGTGTAGAGCTGCTTTGCTGGTGCTACAACATGCAGAGACTTCCTCTGTGTACCGCAGTGTTTCTCAAACTGGGGCCGCCGCTTGTGTAGGGAAAGCCCCTGGCGGGCTGGGCCGGTTTGTTTACCTGCCCCGTCCGCAGGTCCGGCCGACTGTGGCTCCCACTGGCCGCGGTTTGCTGCTCCAGGCCAATGGCAGCTGTTGGAAGCGACGCGGGCTGAGGGACATACTGGCCCCGCTTCCAGCAGCTCCCATTGGCCTGGAGCAGCGAACCGCGGCCACTGGGAGCCGCGATCAGCCGGGCCTGCGGACGGGGTAGGTAAACAAACCGGCCCGGCCCGCCAGAGGCTTTCCCTACACAAGCGGTGGCCCCAGTTTGAGAAACACTGACAAAGGAGAGGATGAGGGCTTGAGAGTGTGGTTTTATAATTATCTCAAATATCCATTTGTCAGGAACAGCTTTGCCATATTCACACAAATATTTACATTCTTGTCAAAACCTGCATTTGCAGAGGGCTCTTCAGAAACCCTTAAGTTAATTGAATATGCTGCTAAGTGAGGCTAGCAATAAAAAGTGTTTCAGATCTGATGCAGATCCTTTATGGTCATGGGGGGGAGCTACATTAGAATTGTGGTTACATTGGCCCAGATCCTTGAAGGTACTGAGGTGCCAAACTCACAACAATGGAGATCAGGGCCATTTTTCCTCCTTTATTCCATCAGAAGTCCAAGATGTGGGCTGATTTGATTTATTTGCTATTTAAATAGCTTTTGCTTTTCTAAAGTGATGCATGTCTATAGATGTTTTTGAAATGCAAGCATGTGACAACAACTAGTGGGGCAAGTTTTGTACCTGTTAATTATTTTTTAATGGTCACTTACTAATGATGAACTTACATTTATCCATAGCATACTGGGGAAAAGACAGATTTTAAATGAAAGCATTGCTCCAGTAAGATTTGCATCTTGAATGCCACAGTAATTTATCAAATGCTTTGGACTTATTGCAACACACATGATCCCCTACCCATGAGTAGATTGGATGCACATGTATCTCTAACTATAAGGTTAAGATAAAATGAGGAAGGAATAGCAAATTTACCAGAACTCAGAAGTCCTTTGAATGTATCACCTGTTCTGGAGAGGAAGGATGGTCTTATGCTTTAGGCATGAGACTGGGACTCAGGAGACCTGGGTTGAATTCCCAGCTCTGCCAGTGACTTCCTATGTGACCTCGGGCAAGTCAATTAATCTCTCTCTGACTCAGTTCTTCGTCTGTAACGTAGAGGTAATAATATTTCCTTTTCCCCTTCACGTTTATGTGTCTTGTTCACGTAGCTTGTAAACTCCTTGAGGCAGGGACTCTCTCTTAGGTGTAGGCACAGTACCCAGGACAATGGGTCCCTGATCTTCATTGGTATGTTTAGATGTATTAGAAGTAATAATTCTGGACATTATTGTGTTTTTGCATAGCTTGCTGGTATAGATCGTTGTGCTCTAGACTGAACATTGGAGAGAGAACCAGGAGTCCTATTCCCTCTTTGGGGACTCGCTGAAGCCTTGGCCAAGACATTTAACCTCTGTGTGCCTCAGTTTCCAATCTGTAAATACTTATGTATTTCATGGGGTGTTCTGAAGATTAGTCCATGTTGTTAAGTGTTTGGAAGATGTAAAGTAGTATGGACTTGATTCTGCCCCCCTCATTCTAGGAGCAGTCCTATTGAGAAGTGTGACAGAGACAGTCCCTAGAGAGCTCTAGCTACCCCAAAGTGGATAGGACTGATCTCAAGTGATCAAGGACAGCTCATCAAAAATGGAGGGAGGAGCCAAGGGGCATGATTTTCAGCTCTATCTATGGGAGAAACGTTTGTGAAGACAGCTTTTAAAATATTGGTTAAGTAAGCTAAAATAGGTAGTGTTGGTTTGTAGTTTTGGTAATGCTTGACGTGTTGGCGTTTAGTAGCAACTAGGGAGAAAAATAAAACCTAAAACTGGAACAACCTACAGTGCAAGTTATTGAGAGAGCACTGAGCACGGAGTGTGCTACTTAGGCCGCACATCCAGCAACAGCAATAATAGAGGGCTAGGGACAGAAAGGCCCTTTTATGTTTGTTTGGTGCGAATAACCCTGCTGGGGCATCTGGGGTTTGAGCCTATAACTGAGATTTTGTTTTGCACAGCTGTTCCACAAGACCTCATTTTATTTATTCTCTCCTTGCTGCCTTACTGGGTAACCCTAAAAGTAAATAAGTTGTAAATACTGGACTAGTCCGCAGCCACAGCAAGTCATTCTCTCACTGCAAGCCATGCACCACTGCAGCCTACATCTAAATATCAGCTTTTTGTACTCCAATATCCAACCTGAAAAGAAAATATGCTTCTTTGAAAGGGGAGACATTCAAACCTAGGCACACAAGCCACTCGAGTCATGTCACACACACAGAATATGCCACAGGGATTATTAGATGACAGATGAGTTCTGCA